TTACGTAAATGCTCGGGTGTGACCGATGATGGTCTCTCCTCTCTAGGAGCCCACATGTGTGTCATCTAGGAGCCCACATGTGTCAACGCTTTGAGGCAGTTGAGCTTACGTAAATGCTCGGGTGTGACCGATGATGGTCTCTCCTCTCTTGTCACCAAACACAGAGATTTAAGGAAGCTGGATATCACGTGTTGCCACAAACTCACTTACGTTTCCATCGCCCACATTACGAATTCATGCACAACTCTAACTTCTCTTAGGATGGAGTCATGTACTCTTGTTCCAAGAGAAGCATTTGTTTTGATTGGACTATTTTGCTTCTCAAGATTTTATTTCATCTCCTTGTTGTTTATGCTTTTGGACTGTTAAAAGAGGTATGAAGTCATATATTAAAATTGGTTTTCACCAACCCGAGTAACCTGAGAAACCCGAGTTACCCGACCCTACCCGAGGTCACCCGAAAGGTTACGGGTTTGTAGACTTAAGAGAGTGTCGAGGCCTAAAATTTTCTCAACCCACACTGATCGGGTCGGCTCAATTTTTCGGCTCAACCCGACCCTATCCGGCCGATTTACACCCTTAATTGTGACTGAGTTGAGCATTAGACTATACTTGTCTCAATCTTGAGAGACAAGAAAAACGTGGGCTCCAGGTTTGTGCCACCGTGACATCATTCTTATGACGTCACTAAATTAATTTGAGCGCACGTTTCAAGACAAACAGGCGTTCAAGTCTCTCCCACTACTCTTACTTTCCAGTGGCTTATACAGGTATTATGTGTTAATCTTGGGTCACTTTCAAATCCTAAAAATTCTCACTTTAAACCACATTTTCTATGTTACCCGCTATGAACTTCTGAACTCTATGTTACTGCTCCGTTTCTGACTAAGGTAAGCCGTTCCCTTTACCCCTATTAGGATATTCCTAGAAAATATTGTCTTTTTTTTTGTCATTCCTTTGAGGGAAAATTTTTTGTCTTTTTAATTTTATTAGTATTCTTTTATGTCTAGTTTGATTTCAGTTTGAAGGGGTCAAAATTTAGGTATGGTTTTTGGATTATGAAGCTAAGGTTTATCTTTGATTATATAAATGACTTTGCATGTCATACAAATTGTGAAACGTTTTTGTTTTTTTGTTTTCTTTGTGTTGTATTTCAGTACTTTGCTCTAAAGGGCAAACAAATTCGCTGTGTATGTGTGGAAATGACAATTTCGATGGAAAGCAGGGGGAAGAAGTACAATTTATACAACTTCTAACATAAATGTTATCTAGTTTAAGCCCAACTTAAGGGAAGTAATCCTAGGAATGGTTTTTGATAATCAAGCAATGGTTTTTCTTTTATATATGAGTAAAAGAATCTTCTTTTGATACTTTTCATTTAGACCCAAACATATGGGAAATTGACTTTATTTTATATGTAAAGCAGAAATGGAGGGGTTTCCTTGCCATTTGCCGGTTGAGATCTGGCACAAATTAAGTTGTGGGTGCCGCCCAAGTCTTTGATGCGATTCAAGTGCGTGAGTAAGTCTTGGTGTTCCCTTATCAATCTTTTTATCAAGGATCCAGAATTTGTTGCTAAGCACCTTCACAACACTAACAATGTCGTATCGTCTAGAATGCGCCACCTTTTCCATTTGTCAGATGTTTCCTTCCATGAGGTAGGTACACATTGCTTACTACATCCAATGTGTGTGATGATGGTGAAACGAATTTCATAAAGTTTGGTGTTGAGTTTTTAAATCTACCGATTTTTTCGGGTGCCAAGTGGTTTGGCTTCCCTGGATATTATCATTGTAATGGCATAATTTGCCTGGATTGGCTTTATGGGAACATGCTGTTGTGCAATCCGGTATTGAACGAGTATGTGCTTGTGAAATCAGGCAGTGCAAGCCCGGAATGGGATTTGGCTCCGATTTGAGCAAAGAAATGGGATTTGGATACGATTCGAGAACTGAGGGATACAAGATTGTTAGGATTTTAGCTGCTGATGATGCTATTGATGGACCAAGAATTATGCTTTTTGATTCTGATAGAGATGATGATATTGATGGACGAAGAACTTGTCCTTACTATGGATCTGAGGTAACCACCCTTGGTTCTAGTATCTGGAGAAAGAATGGGATGCTTATAGACAGTTTCTCATTACGATCACTCTACAGTCATACATACTGCAAAGGAGTGTTTTATTGGATGACATATTCTATTGAGGGCGTGATCCTTGCGTTTGACATGTGTGAGGAGATATTTCGTTGTATAAAGCCTCCGAATGATGTTTTTGTATGTGATGGATCACATTGGAGGACTGATCTCATGGCGTGGAATGGCTCTCTCGTTTTATTGTTTGATAATCCTTCTCGTGGGCAAATGAGTGAACCAAGATTCATTGATATGTGGGTGATGAACGACAACAATGGAGGTGGCAGAAGAGGATCAAATATCTTACGATAGAAAACCTAAATGGCATGCTTGTGCCATTGACATTTTGGAAGAGTGATGAACTCCTTGTGGATGATTTAGAAAAGGAAAAGTTGGTCTCCTACAACATTCATAATAAAGAGTTTAGAGACCTTGACGTTGATGGATGCAGACAGGATGGATTGTCCTACGTTGGAGCCTAAGTGCCCAGTCTGGTTTCGATACTGGAAAAATGCAAGCTCAAATAGAGGTAATGATATATATATATATATATATACACACATATATATATGGGCAATGATACGAGTATGGGCAAGTCCAATTATATGGTAGAAAAATATAGATGCCAACGGATAGGTTCTTTTTTGTTTTTTTTTAAGTCACTAAATAACCAAATATATACCAAAAAAATAATTTAATAGTTTTAAAAGAATATATGCTCCTAGCCAAAAGGAAAAAAAAAAAAGAAAAGATTATTGTTATTTTTTTAGAGGAAAAAAATTATTATTAGGTGTGTCCATATGTTGCTGTATTACTTTTTGCACCAGGACTTAATTCACTTGCCAATAGGCAATTGCAATATAAATGTGTGGAATTAGTGTTAAGTAGTAGTACTCGTCCTGTTTACTATGCTTCTATATCTTTCTAGTTTTGTCTTTCTGAGTGTCTGACTACTACTCTATAAAATAGAAGATTGTAGCAAAATTATGAGACACAATTTTTTGCTCTACTAAGTGTTAGTGGCGAGTTTTCTATAGAGAGTAGGAAGGAAAAATTTTCTCCAAAAATTTCACGTCGTGCATGTGTAGGTGTTCGTGAAAACCTTGAGTGTTCTTGCTAATTCCGTTTTGTTTTAGGTGTGCCCACACACACGTTCTTTGTAGATTCAAAGAATTGATAAAGAAAATTTAGGTGTTCTAAACTAGCATTGAAGCGAGAAAAGTTTGAAATCAAAGAATACAAGTTATCATCCTAATCGGTTGCTAGGTATAATTCCTAATCCGGTTCTTGGTAAATAAATTAATGTGATTAATTTATTTGTACATAAATTAATATAATCTATAGAGTATCTTAAAGATTTTATGAAAATTTTTATTATACACGATCCGTTACTCACATGCTTCCGAATTTGAAATCGTTTGAGAAACTAACATTATAACATGTATGAAGTTGATATGAAGTAATACCTTTTCTGAACATCGGGTTCAAGATTTGATTTTTTTTTTTTTTGCTAATGATATTCATGGGTTTCAAGCTTGATTATGATATGGTACTATATTTGGTTGGCGGACTCTTGACTTTATCTTACGCTATGTTATGTATCACTTGTATGATATTCATATTTTAATGGATAGTCTTCCCTTTATTTTAATAGATGCGCATCAAGTTTCTAGCAAGCTCATATGTCCATTTATTCGTATTCTCCTAATTATATCATTTTACATTAATTAAAATATTTAGAGGGTCATAATTTTTTTGGCTGATGTGATATGAATTTTTAATTGATATAGTATTTTAATTTACGTGGCATAATAATATTATTAAAGGAACATGAAATGAGATGAATAAAGAGATTGATTTCCTATTTAAGTATTGTTTAAAACGTAAAAGGCCTGAAAGGTTTTTTGTTTTTTCTTTCAGGGCAAAAGTCTTGAGAAATTTTAAATATATGTTGATGAATTGGCTTGAGAAATTAAAAGAAAATGCAAATAAAATGCCAGTGCATAATGTCAAAGCGGTAAAAATGGATATGAAGGGGTTTAGATTGTATTAATGGGCCTAAGAAGTGTGTGTGTGTGTGTGTTTTTTTTTTTTTTTAATTGTAACTTCTAAAATGAAATATTTCATCACTTCATTTTCTTCCCTTCTAATTATTTCATAAACGCTTTTTTATTATTTTTACTAAATTTTAGGGTTGTTAAAAAAAAAATGGAACCAACAATAATTGAACGGTAGCATTGGAAACAGCATGAGGGTTGCCTTCGGTCGGTGAAATCAAACCGTCCAACGCCGCCTCTTCTTGTTTTTGGGCCTTCGCCACCCATCTCTTTCTCTTCTTCATCTCTACTAGTCTACTTATTCAATCTTCTTCTCATTTTTCCCTTATGTGTGTGTATAACATTATATACTGACAATAATTTCTTAAAAACGAAGAAGAATAGAGAAACTCTAGCAGTAACGTTACGTGTGTCACCCAGGGCCGGCTCTACCTTAGAAAACATTAGGCCTAAGTCCCCAGATATATATATTTTTTTGAGACTCCTAATTAATATATCTATTTATTATTATTATTTTACATTTTACATTAAAACTATAAGAACAAAAAAAATTAGGATACTTTTCGGAGGGTTGGATCCTTGGAATTTGAAAAAAAAAAAATAATGAAAAAAATTAAAGATTCTACCTCTTTAAGAAACTTACTGAAAACAATCTTTTTAAAAAATTTTACCCCTTCACTATGTCTAATTTAAAAAATAGAAATAAATGGACTAATGTTAAAGGGTAAAAATAAAAAGAGGTTTCATTTTAAAGGGTATTTTTAAAATTTCTCGTTAAAAATCATATAATCAAGTTTTGTTGTTAAAAAGAAAAATATTGGATAAACTTTAATATGTAGATATAATTAATAATTTTGCATTTCAAAAGGCAAGAAAAGTATATTTTAAATTGGTTTAATTATTTTTTTAATTTCTTTGATATAGAAGAAGACCTTTTTTAAAATTTTCGTATAAAGTTTCAAATTTACTCGAGTCTGACACTAACCTCACTTTTTTTTTTTTTGTTCCGATGTCCCCTAACCCATTCTCTTTCACAGGTTCAAATTCAATTTGAATTGTGTCTAAGTTAGATTATGGACACTTGTCTCAATCTTGAGAGACAAGAAAAACTTGGGCTCCAAGTTTTAAGCCACCGTGACATACATCACCGTTAATGTGACCAAAATTTGATCCTCGTTTCTAGGCAACAGACCTTCTATACTCTCTCATACTCACTTAGTCTCACCGTCTCAGGCATTGTGTTTATAATTCAGTCGCTTTTAAATTAGACTCATTTAGAAGGTATACTCAAACTATTATTCTTGATTTTAATGTTTAAAATTTAAATTTTTTATAAAAAAAACTATAAAATCAATGATTTGAGTTTAATAACATAAAATAAACTTTTTATGGGAGGAAAATACTGTAGAATAATAAATCCCCATTCTAACCAGATTTCCTCTAAATGTTACTTCTCTGTGTCAACTAATGTAAGTCGTTCCCTTTACGGCTTTACACCTATTTCTAGTCTCGACTCCTAGAACATATGGCCAGTTTATTTTATTTTTTATTATTTTTTATTTTTTTTTACTATTATTTTTTTTTGTCAGTCATTTCTTAGATGGGAAGAAAAATTTTACCCTTGTAATTTTATTACTACTGTTTGTTATATTGATTTCAGTTTCTAGGGGAGAAAGTTTAGGAATGGCTTTGGATCGAGGAAATAAATGGTTTAGCATTTCATAGAGATTGTATTGAATTTTTGTACTTTTCTCTAACACAAACAATTCGCTCTGTATGTGGAAAATTACAATTTCAGTAGAATATCTACAATTTCTAGGATGAGTGATATGTAGTTTGACCGCAACTTAAGGGAAGCAATCCTAAGAATGGTTTTTGATTATCAAGTCATGGTTTTATCTTTGAGAAAATAGATGGTTAAAAAGAATTTGTTTTCAATACTTTTCATTTAGACCCATGGAAAAGTGACATTATTTTCTATGTAAAGCAGAAATGGAGGGGTTTTCTTGCTATCTACCGGTAGAGATTGTGGAACAAATTATGCTGTGGCTGCCTCCCAAGTCTTTGATGCGATTCAAGTGCGTGAGTAAGTCTTGGTGTTCCCTTATCAATGGTTGTATCAAAGATCCAGAATTTGTGGCAAAGCACCTTCACAACACCAACAAAGACATAACTTCTAGAACACGCCACATTGTTTATTTGTATGGATTTTCCTACTTTAAGAATATGTACTCATTGCTTAGTACGTACAATGAGTGTGATGATGGTGAAAAAGAAACCATAAAGTTTGACGCCGAGTTTTTGAATTTATCGAATTTTTTGAATGGTGAGAGGTTTGCCTTTCCTGAGTATTATCATTGTAATGGCATAATCTGCCTTGATGGTTCTAAGGGGGACATGCTGCTGTGCAATCCGGCATTGCGTGAGTATCTGCTTGTGACATCAGGTAGTGCAAGCTTAGGAATCGGATTTGATACTGATTTGAGCAAAGGAAAAGGATTTGGCTATGATTCGAGAACTGACGAATACAAGGTTGTTAGTATTTTAGATTTCATTGATGATATTGATGGACCAAAAAGACAAACTTGTCTGGCTGAGGTAACCACCCTTGGTTCTGGTATTTGGCGAACGATTGAGATGCCTATACATGGTTTTTCATCACGATCACTCTACAGTCATACATACTGCAGGGGAGTGTTTTATTGGATGACATCTTCTACCGAGGGTATGATCCTTTCGTTCAACATGTGTGATGAAGTATTTCGTTGCATAGAACCTCCAAATGATGTTTTCTTATCTGATGGATCACATTGGTGGACTACTAAGCTCATGGTGTGGAATGACTCTCTTGTCTTATTGTTTGATAATTGTCCTTGCGGGCAGGGGACCGAACCAAGATCCATTGATATGTGGGTGATGAATGACAACAATGGCAGTGGCAAAAAAGGTTCGCGTTCATGGATCAAATATCTTACGATAGAAAACCTAAATGACATTCTTATGCCGTTGACATTTTGGAAGAATGATGAGCTCCTTTTTAAGGATTTAGGTCAAGTAAAGGTGGTCTCCTACAACATCCAAAAGAAAGAGTTTAGAGACCTTGACATTGATGGACAGAGTCAGAGTAGATTGTCCTTTGTGGGAACCCATGTTCCCAGTTTGGTTTCGATAAGGGAAAATTGCAAGCTCAAATTTAGGTAATATATATTTTTTATATCTACAAGTAAAAGAAGCATCAAAGCAGTATGTATTAGTCTATTGACTAGGAATTCAGAGATTCTAGGAGACTTTCTTATCTCAGTTTGGGATTAGTTTACCTTTCTCTATTGGTTTACTTGGAAAATTGATTTATCTTCTAGGAAGAATAATATAATTAGTATATTAGTCTAATAATTTTGCGAAAAGTCTGTCAAGTTTAATTGTCGTTTCTTTTACTATTATGTCGATTGGCATAATTGGTTTGGTATTCTGTTATCATTTTTGTATGTGAGCTATAAATAGGCACATTACTAATTGTAATAGAAGATTTTTGAATATTATAGTAATTGAATACTAGACTTGTGTTTTCTCTTCAATTTGGGAGTTTTCTCCTTATGAGTTTGTTTTTAGGTGGATTCGGAAATCTTTTGTCCGGATTAGGCCGGTAAAATCCGTTTTCCTTCATTCTGTGTTAGAATGTATGATTTTTGCTCGGATAGCTTCTCAGAAAACTGATGTTATGATAAATGTAAATAGACAAATCCAAACAGTGAGGAACATATGATTTTGGCTGAATCGTAGGTGAGAAAAATATGATGACATTTTGCATGTTGGTTTGTTTAGGATCCATTCAGTGGTGGAGCCAAGATGTTTTCAGGGGCGTTGTGAAACTAAAATTATAATGCAATTTTATCTTTCTATATTTTCTTAAACTCCCAATGTAGCTTTGTTTTGAAGACATTTAGGTTTCATTCATTTCACCAATTCGAGTTTTGTTGCAGTAAAAAATTTTCAGAAATAATTACATTTAATTTTTTTGTTATAATAAATTTTTTTTACATAAAGTCACATCTTAATTCAAATTAAACACTCGAATTAGCAAATTAAACGAGACAATTTAATAAGTAAATTGAATGATGCTTTATTTGTTAGTGTTTTCTGAGAATTTTTTGAACGAAATTTGATATTATGTTTTTAGTTGCTAAAAATGTATAGTTGAATTTTAGGTGAATGAGCACGACTTGGTGATGTGCGTGCTGTTGATGATGATGGCATTATTTTGGACGAGTTGGTTAATGAAACTAGGGTACTTCTAGGGTCCGACCTTCACTGTTTGCGATTGAAACATCCTTTTATTCTCAACCGTTTAGATCAAACTGAATGCATGAGATTAGCTTGGGGTAAACGATCTTTTGGCAAGCGATGTAAGAAGTGCATCCGGTTATCTTTATTTTAATTTTTCTTTTGATTTTTTTTTGAGAAGATTGCCGAAAAAAAGATATTACTCAATGAGTAAAAATTCAGACTTATGCACTCTATGAGGTTCTTTTTTTAGGAGAAAGAGAGAAATAGGTTAAGACTTGAGATGAATTAAAATTAATAGGCTAATAGTTTACATAAGTTAATAAATATGTTAAATTATTGTTTTCGTCCATAACTTGTCTGGTTATGAACCATAACTTGACAAGTTATTGTCTATAAATCACAGTTTTTGTTTATAACTTGTCTAGCTATGAATCATAACTTGACAAGTTTGTTCATAACTTATCTGGTTATGAACCGTAACTTGACAAGTTATAGCCTATTAATTTCTATAACTAAAATAACCTATATACTTAAGCTTTTCATATTGGCATATTTTCTACTATTTCCGTTTTTTTCCTCAATAAAAAATAATGACCCATTTGGTTCACATGTTTAAACTCGCGATTCTGATTCTGCTACAATAGTTTCTCTCACAAAAAATTTTGAAAAAAAAAAGTTTCCACCAATGGGTTCTCTTACAAAATTTGAATACATATTCAAAATCATTGATTTGAACACATAAACTCAACCGGCTCTCAATCTGTAAAATGTCATAATTTTTTCGTTTTAACTCATATCTTGGCGATTCTTCTTCCTATGCATTCAGAGCTAAAAAAGGAACAAATCTAGATCCATATGCTTAGGTAGTTCTTACATGAATGTCGAGTTTTTATAAGATTTCTTATTAAACCCTAAATTTTTTTCAAATGATTATTTTCAACACTCTATCTAAATACGAATTTAGATTTTCTTTTTAGTTCATATTATAATTTATCTCATACCCAAATGATATTCGGATTACAAGTCAGGTCAAATCACTCTAGTTTACAATTTTTAGTTTAAATTAAGATCTCGTTTGATTCAAGGGTTTGAATTGTGTGATTTTAAATTCCGCTCGAAAATTTTTTCTTCTTTATTAGGAGCGAAAGAGGACCAACAACTAATAAATATTTGCCATGGAAAACATTAAAGTGTTGATCTGAATTGTTTTAGTTTGAACTGTGGAACTTTGTGTGGTTTAAATTGTAATATGAGTTAGCAATCTTGATTGAACCAAAAAATTTTAAAATTCACCGAACCATGCTTATGTAAATTTTTCGGAATTTTTCCAACACTGAAAACATAAATTTGGATGAATATATTTGTTAAAAGTAAAAAAAAAAAAAAAATGAATTGAGAGAATAATTTACTGTAAAAAATAGTTTGGCTTCTATGCAATTGCAATCAATTGCCACTAGAAAGTAGCCATTCTCAACACTAACTTCCCGTTGCCCATCGGTTGGATCTTCCCGTTGTTACGGCTTTGGTCATCCATTGGTGTTCTCAACACATGACGGTCACCCGCGGCTTAACTCTCAAATTGTGTCTTCTTTATGCGTTCGTAGCGTAATAAAAAGAGTGGTGGAATCTATGAGGGTTGACAATTACCAAAAAATAAATAAAAGAAAAGATTAGTAGAAAATAACGTTAGAAGATATAAGCAAATTGAGTTGAGAAAGTATTTTTGAAATTTTTATTAAAAAGGTAAGAATTAAAAGAGAGAGATCGAATATTTTAGAGAGATTAAAGCAGAAGAAAATTGTAAAATGAATATGTGATAAAACAGGTAAGAGTATGTTTTGTTTTACAATTTTAATTTTAATTCATGAAATAACTCAATTATAGATATTGTATCCCAAATGAAGAACTAAAAAATATATAATGCGTTTAGAACTCGTTCTAAAATGATTTTATTTTTTGTATGAAAATAAAAATAAAAACATTTTTAATCTCGGACAGAAACCATTTTTGAGAATGCGTTTGATAGTTTTATCAAGAGATTGTTTTCAGTAAAAAAATATATTAATGTCTCTCTCTTTCTCTCTGCTCGAGAGATAAGAAAATGAAAATAAAAAATGAAAAACGACTAAAAGTCGTTTTTTATTTTTCTCTAATTTTACATTAAACTAAAAAATCGTTTTCATTTCTGTTTTTTGTCTTTATTGCATCAAATACCGTTTTAAAAACGTTTTTATTTTTTTTTCTCGAAAAACGTAAAAAAATTTACATGATCAATTTTAAACACAGCCATAGATTTTTAGTCTATAATTTAACAAAAATATTTGAGTAAATTAAATCCTCACGTTGATTCCACGAAGATTATTAATACTAGTAATCTAAAATCAACAAAATACTTTTTAGCACTTTGCATTAAAGATCAACTTAAAAAATAATTTGTAAAATTTGTCATTTTTTCTTTTTTAATTTCTTTTTCTTTTTCTTTTTCACAGTAGATGAGTTGTACGTTAATTAGTGACACTTGTCTCACCTTAGAGAGACAATAAAAACTTGAGCTCCAAGTTTGAGCCACATGACATCATTCTTATGACATCGCCGAATGAACGTGCTCAAAAATTTTCTCACGTTTCTAGGCGACAGAACCCCTTCAAGTCTCTCACTCACTCTCTGTGACTTTCAAACCCTTAATCCCCATTCTAACAACATTTGCTTCCTTACTTGCATTGAACTTCTGAACTCTAAAATGTTAACTCTTAGAACATATGGTCAGTTTTATTATTTTTATTATTACTTTTTTCTTGTGCTCATTCCTTAGTTAGAAAAGTAAAATTGTGTTCTCTTAATTTTCTTAGGTTTTATTTATTTCACCGATTCGAGTTTTGTTACAATAAAAAACTCTAAAAAATAGTCACATTTAACATTTTTGTTACAGTAAAAAACTCTCATATAAAGATATATCTCAACTCAAATTGAAAATTCGAATCAACGAACTAAACAGTCATTTATATTTTCTGTTATATCTACTTTGATTTCAGTTTCAAGGGGAAAAATTGTAGGCATGGCTTGGGATTGAGGAAACAAACGGGTTAGCAGCATTTCATTGGAAACTGTGTGTGTGTGGGTGGTTTTTGTTTTTTTGTTTTTTTTTTTTTTTTTCTGTTGAATTTTAACACTTTGCTCTAACACTTAAACAAGTTCGCTCAGTATGTAGAAATTGAAATGCATATTGATAGCAGGCAACCAAAAAAAAAAACTAAAATATCTACAATTTCTACAATGAGGGAAGCAATCCTAGGAATGGTTTTTGATTATCAAACCATGGTTTTTGTTTTGAGGAAATAGATGGCTAAAAGAATTTGCTTTCAGTACTTTCATTTAGACCCAAACCTATGCCAAAATGACTTCATTTTATATGTAAAGCAGAAATGGTGGTCTGCCCAGTCTGGTTTCAATAAGGGGAAAAGGTAAGGAATGCTGATTTGGAATTGGAAGAAAGGGATTTTTAATTAGTCTGTTGATTCTTCTTGCAACAGCGATATATAAGCTGTAGAAGCAGGAAACATAAATGTAAATGGAGTAATGCCTTAGAGCAAATAAGTATTATATTATGTTCATATTTCTATAAGTATTATGGCCCGTTTAATTCGCTCATTTAAATTTTTAATTTGAGTTTAGATATAATTTTAGTTTAATTTGGTATTAATCTAAACCCTAAAAAGCACTTTTTTTGTTCAGTTTAAGTTGTTTTTGGCGTTTGGTAAGAAGCAAAATAAGTGATTCTTCAATAATTTTAAATTATTTTTACAGCTTGTTGAGAAGCAACCAAAGGATGCTTCTGATTCTTCAACAATTTTAAGCTGTTTTTAGAGCTTGTTGAGAAGCAACCAAAGGGTACTTCTAATTCTAAATTGTCCAGAAATCTCTTCTTTTCACATTAATGAAAATTTTTTATTCCCATTTACCCTCGTTGAAATGAAATAATCCTCATCTACCCATTATTCATCTCTCATCTCCATCACTCCTCGTTCTCTCTC